AAAATTTCAAAGGCTACCTATCTTGGACTGGGTTCTGAGGGTCAATTCAGGATGGAGGTTGTCTGATAAACCAACAAGGTTGCCTCCATCAGCGGAGATTCCACTGACAACATTAAAAAATATTACTTACGCCCACAGGGAACAATGCCAACAGTCAATCCAGACGTTAATTCTACGGTAGTTTTTTGACTATGTACAGCAAGAACACTGTAATGAGAGGAATGTCTGATATTCCGCTAATTAGATATACCAACGGAGGTATCATGTAGAATTAAGGCGCTAACGATGATTAGGACTATATTTAGCCATCATTCTGAGATAGACAAATTACATGTATTTTGTGTTTGTTGGTTACTGCTTACACAAAAGACAAAAGAATCAGAAGTACTAAACATAACATAGAAAGTATTATTGTTACCAATGTATCTCCTCATCTATTTCCATTGATCACTTGCCAATGTTTCAGGTCAAATGTACAAAATGTGTACAGATTAGTTAACATGAGGCTAGATGTACAAAAATGAGTTGACCTCACTCAGGTCAAATGTACAAAAAAAATGCACAAATGAGTTGACCTATGGTCAAATGTACAAATTGTGTACATATTAGTTAACATGAGGCTAATTGTACAAAAATGAGATGACCTCACTCAGGTCAAATGTATAAAATGTGTACATATTAGCTAACATGAGGCTAGATGTACAAAAATGAGTTGACCTCACTCAGGTCAAATGTACAAAAAAATGCACAAATGAGTTGACCAATGGTCAAATGTACAAAATGCACAAATGAGTTGACCTGAGGCCACATGTACACAAATGAGTTGACATTTGGCCAAATGTACAAAATGAGCTGACCAGAGTTACACAATCCCATCACACAGGTGTATGTACATCCTGTTATTAGCCACAGAATTGTGAACCTCGTCTGCAGTAGCTGCATATTAGCACAGGACGACATTGGCTCAACTTCAAGGTAATTCGAAAAGAAAAAAAATGTTTTTAAACACAATATAAACACATACCAGAACCATCGACACAAAATTCTTCAGCATTTACAAGTGCTTTGATAATAGCAGAGATTGCACTTCACTTTTTACGAATTCCGTCATACTATAAATCCAATTTTCAGATTTAATAATCTAATAGCGCATCTTTCTTATGTATTATGGTATTTACCAGATTGCATGTGCATGTGCATGTACATTACTACTCAAAGATAAATGTTAAATAAAAATGATGTTCAACACAGGTAGAGTATACCAGTGGTATAGTCTACATTGGTATAGTCTACCTGTGTTTGAACATCAGACAAATACTGAGCTATCACAATGGTTTGGACAAATACTGAGCTGTCACAATGGTTTGAACAAATACTGAGCTGCCACAATGGTTTGGGCAAATACCGAGCTGTGACAATGGTTTGGACAAATACTGATGAGCTATCACAATGGTTTGGAAAAAGACTGAGCTGTCACAATGGTGTGGACAAATACCAAGCTGTCACAATGGTTTGGACAAATAACAAGCTGTAACAATGGTTTGGACAAATACTGAGCTGCCACAATGTTTTAGACAAATACTGAGCTGCCACAATGGTTTAGACAAATCCTGAGCTGCCACAATGGTTTGGGCAAATACCGAGCTGTGACAATGGTTTGGACAAATACTGATGAGCTGTAACAATGGTTTGGACAAATACTGAGCTGCCACAATGGTTTGGACAAATCCTGAGCTGTCACAATGGTTTGGACAAATCCCAAGCTGCCACAATGGTTTGGACAAATACTTAGCTGTCACAATGGTTTGGACAAATACCAAGCTACCACAATGGTTTGGACAAATACTGAGCTGTAACAATGGTTCGGACAAATACCAAGCTGTCACAATGGTTTGGACAAATACAAAGCTGCCACAATGGTTTGGACAAATACTTAGCTGTCACAATGGTTTGGACAAATACGAAGCTGTAACAATGGTTTGAACAAATACTGATGTGTCACAATGGTTTGGACAAATACCAAACTGCCACAATGGTTTGGACAAATACTGAGCTGCCACAATGGTTTAGAAAAATACTGGGCTGCCACAATGGTTTGGACAAATACTTAGCTGTCACAATGGTTTGGACAAATACCGACCTGTCACAATGGTTTGGACAAATACTGACCTGTCACAATGGTTTGGACAAATACCGAGCTGGCACAATGGTTTGAACAAATACTGAGCTGCCACAATGGTTTGGGCAAATACCGAGCTGTGACAATGGTTTGGACAAATACTGATGAGCTATCACAATGGTTTGGAAAAAGACTGAGCTGTCACAATGGTGTGGACAAATACCAAGCTGTCACAATGGTTTGAACAAATACTGAGCTGCCACAATGGTTTAGACAAATACTGATGAGCTATCACAATGGTTTGGAAAAAGACTGAGCTGTCACAATGGTGTGGACAAATACCAAGCTGTCACAATGGTTTGGACAAATAACAAGCTGTAACAATGGTTTGGACAAATACTGAGCTGCCACAATGGTTTGGACAAATACTGAGCTGCCACAATGTTTTAGACAAATACTGAGCTGCCACAATGGTTTGGGCAAATACCGAGCTGTGACAATGGTTTGGACAAATACTGATGAGCTGCCACAATGGTTTGGACAAATACTTAGCTGTCACAATGGTTTGGACAAATACTTAGCTGTCACAATGGTTTGGACAAATACCGAGCTGTCACAATGGTTTGGACAAATACCAAGCTGTAACAATGGTTTGAACAAATACTGAGCTGTCACAATGGTTTGGACAAATACCAAGCTGCCACAATGGTTTGGACAAATACTGAGCTGTCACAATGGTTTGGACAAATACTGAGCTGTCACAATGGTTTGGACAAATACCGAGCTGTCACAATGGTTTGGACAAATACCGAGCTGTCACAATGGTTTGGACAAATACTGTTTAACTGGCAATAAAAGAAGCAATTCTATAATGCATTCAAAAGGGACAAATATAAATGGCCAGCATTATCAAAGAATTGACTACATTCCAGAACACAAAAAAAAATACATTTTAAATGATATATTTACCTTCCAGCTATGTAGACATTTCCTATGCGGTTACCTTTGATTGTGATATCTAATAGAATTTTTCATTCTCAAAGATATTCATAAAGTACCTTGGTATCCTAGGTATGTACAGTCAAATATGCTACAAGTGAACAATGACATTCTCACCTCCTTTCAAAGGAGTTGTGCACTTTGAGGCATGTTAACATTTTATGAATGAAGACAGCTAGACTTCATAGTTACCTACATATAATAGATGATATATTTAAAAGATGCACAGTGCATTAACTCCTTCACCCCTGAAATTTTATAATGAACTATTCCAACCTTTGTGAATTGGAAGAGTTCAAATGTGTCTTCATGGGGGGTGAATGAGTTAAAACAAAACTCAAAAATTAATGGGAGGTAACTCTGACAAAATTTATAGGTAATGAGATATGTAGCATATACCCTTAACTCAGGTATATTTATTTAGTCACACATCAGCAAGTACAGGTAACCAGAATTTACACCCTGCAGGCGGATGTTTACCAACATGAGGTCTAGTATACTCCTCCACATCTGTATATTTCGTGTACCGATATCTATACGATACTGGATTCTATCCAAACAGTGTTATTGCTATAGGAAAGATTGCCACAAAAGATGATAAGCATTACTACGGTGATTACACTGAGTAATGGTCATTATGAAACTTACCTCTAATGACCAAAGACAAGAGCTACAAACCATATATATTAGTTTGTGGAATATGTGTCTGCGACGCTTTGATGTGAGTTCCATGATCTAGAAACATTAGGTCAACATTAAAGTTGGGAGAAATTGTTTTACTAGAGATAAGTTTTGTGAAGTTAGAGGTTACCTATAAGCTATAAAGTGTCTAAGTCTACGTTAAGGTTACCTTATTGGTTCATTATAATTATACCATGCATACATTATAACAGGTTTATTGTCATAATAGAACCTGAGAGGCGATTGTTTTGTAGCTGTAACCTTAACTAAGATACATGACGCTGTACACCATGCCTATACCTACATGACACTGTATGACACTTTATGAAATGTACGACACTTTATGAAATATATTACTGTATACCTAAATTACCTACATTGAATAAGACCTGGAGGAAATACAGTTCCATGATATTGTACATATATATATATATATACAGTGTACCTACATGAAGTTCATAATGCTGTTTTCAACCTCAAGTTCATGATGCTGTATTCAGCCTGGAGTTCATGACACTGTATTCAACATGAAGTTCATGACACTGTATACATTTTCATAAAGGCAAATTACACATTAGAAAATACCTGCATGGAATTGATGACAATCCCATTAATTCGTACCTAAAGTACCTAAATTTTGTGCATGAATAAGTCCAGAAAATTGTATAGCTTTACCCATATACAGTTCTATGGTAAATTTTCACCAACAGGAAGTTCTGTATACCTACATTAAGATCTTGACACTAGTACTGCACCAGATACAATTATCTACATCCAGTTCATGAAATTCTAAATGTACTTCGGTAGTTCATAGCATTGTATACACTGTATCTACATGTACATGCAGTTCATAACGTTGTATATCTACATGTAGTTCATTGCATTGCATACCTACTTGTAGTTATAGTATTGTATATACCTACATGTAGTTCATTGCATTGCATATATACCTACATGTAGTTCATTGCATACCTACTTGTAGTTCATAGCATTGTATATACCTACATGTAGTTCATTTTAAACTACTTTATTTATATACATCTTACATGTAGTTCTAACACACACTTATATCTACATTTAGTTCCTTAAACACTTTATATACATCTTACATGTAATTCTAACACACACTTATACCTACATTTAGTTCCTTAAACACTTTATATACATCTTACATGAAGTTCTAACACACACTTATACCTACATGATGTTCTATGACTGTGGACACTGTGTCGACCACTGGGATGGTGACTATTGTAGTATAATCCACGCGGCATGTACATCCACTGACCACTCCCACCAAAACTGTGCCGCTGCGCTGCCCCGCCCTGGGATACCACTGCCCCACCCTGGGTCATATACACCATGTCATGACCTCCTGAGCCAGAGGAGCTCTGGAGCTGGTGCTGGCTCCGGCTGTGGCTCATTGATGTTGGTCCAGGGGTGGAAGCTCGTGTTCTTGACCGGTTACACATTAGTTCCTGGTCATTCTGGGAACATATCACACTGATTTGCTGACCACTGTTGCTTCGCCTGTAACCACGATGAATTCCGACAGGGGTCCCGGGCATAGAATTCGACCCGGCAGAAGTTTGAGAATTGTTGGAAGTGCACAAAGATAACGTCAAATCATGGTTTCCTTGTAACTGAAGTGAACCTCGTTTACGTACTCTGCTAGCAGAGTCAAGCACAATACTCTCCATAGCTAAAATGCCCATATCTCTATGTCTTAAACTCAATCATGTTGAAACCAACTAAGCCACCTCTGTGCCAGGTTGTTTTTCTGCCAGAATCTGTGTAGCTACTACAAGTCTGGCTATGGAGATGAGGATCGTAGCTAAAACAGACTGCCTCCCCACTGAGGTGCCACCACACACCAGAAATAACATCCTCACTATCTCCCCAGGCTCCTAGTCAGTGAGGGGTACACTCACAGCACACACTGAGTGAGGGATACACACAGCACACATATGAGGGGTATACACAAGGCACATGTACACACCCAGTCTGTGAGGTACAGCACACATATGTTCACCCGAATTAGACTTCTAAAAGTTTCGAAGTGTAATCATAAACATGAAACCTGATGTTTATATATACAATGATTGAGTTTTCTTCCAGCCATATTAAAAAGTGATCAGGGCAGTGGTGATCGACATGCAGTATTCATTAACAATGGAATCATCACTTAAGACAGAACTACAGTCATAAATAACACACAAAACTAGACAAACACAAGTCTGTAATTAATAAACACAACTAGACTTACACAAATCCTTTGTTTTACAAAGATAACTAGACTTCCACAAGTCCCTTAGAGTGACAAGCACACCAAGATTTACACAAGTTTCAAGATTACCACAAACCTAGACTTACACCAGTCACTTTGTGTTAGACTTACACAAGTCCTTTACAGTGACAAAACATAGCTAGACTTACACAATTATTAAGTCTTTATTCCCAGGTCTGAAATTAATAAAAACAGCTAGACTTACACAAGTCCTTTGCTTTACAAAGATAACTAGACTTCCACAAGTCCCTTAGAGTGACAAGCACAGATTTACACAAGTTTCAAGAGTTACACAAACCTAGACTTACACTAGTCCCTTTGAGTGACAAGCATAACCAGACTTGCACAAGTCCTTATTACGTCATGTTTTATAACTATACCTAGACTTACACATATCCTCATCTAAAATCTCTAAAGATGACGACATAATAATATATGTAACATAAAAGTGGGCATTAAATATTCAGAAGGCACCCGCGCTTTCCAAATTGTGAGTTATCATGAAAATTATATTGACAGCAGCCACTGTCATTGTGTTACATGGGTAAGCTGTGAAACTGATAATTTTCAGCAGGAGTATGTGATTGGAATATTATCACCGGAACTCTTGAGTGATGTAAAATGTGATGAAAACAAACCCTGCCCAGCGTCTCACAATAAAACCAATCAAACACAGACCAAGGAACCCATTTATATTCATCACTATGTTAACCTCACAACCAAACTGCAAAAACGTGGAATCTTCTACAACGTAAAAAGATTGTAAATTGCTTTTTTGGTAAATTAGGATATATATCGGAGCCAGCCAGGAGTAAAACAGTCGTTAGACAGAGTGAGTCGTAACAATTCGTCGGACAAAAGAGATTTTGTGTCAGGACTCAGTACAAACCTACACTCACATTTCCATACATACAATGGGTTTTTAGTGTTATCGTGGGTATCATCAGAAACCTATAGTGCTCTATTATAAGGCAGGAGAAAAATGTCTTACGAAGCAGAAATAGAATGTTAAGAAGTGGTAAAGGAAGCCCGTGAGTACTGTTGTTCTGATATCACATGTATATAGCAAGTACAGGTAGAGGTCCTATAATGAATAACCGATGTATGTTATTTACAATGTTCATATAACACGAAGTAGTTAATTTTCAAAAGTTGAATTAAACAAGTTTTACTTTTTAAAATTTGAAAATAAATAACTCCAATTTAAGTTAAACCAGAGTAATTATGTATTTTGGAACTTCTTTTTACCACAGTTCCATAACATTGTCACTTGACTGAAATTGCTTTACAAAGGATGAAACAGGCCACTTTGAAATTTGTTTCTAAGTTACCAGGCCTAGGTATCGTTTACTAATTTATTTGAAAAAAAAAAAAAAAAATATGTTTACAACAACTGTCAAATTCTGGGATGTAGGACTGCCAAGTTTGTTCAAATGAATGACCTTGACCCACTTTCAAGGTCACAGGGATCAAATGTCTTAAAATCTTCAAACGACTTCTTCTCAAAAACATCAGTTTTAAAATACGACTTAAATCAATTCTGAATGTACTTAAAGCTAATAACACACTTGTAAATATAATTTTCTTTATGATACTGTTCTATAATACGGATGAAAAAGCAGACAATCAAAGGGCATCATAAAACTCGGAATCAATTATCAATATTTACTAGTCAATGTAGGGAAACCTACAGAAAGGTCATAGTTGAATTGTCAACAAGTGATACTCCTGTATCTGTGGTAGCCAAATTAAACTGATATTAGACAGAGTGGAACTGGACTTGGTCAATATGGTTGGTGACCAGGTAGCTCAATTGGACTTGGTCGACAGCTGGAGACCACTGGTAGCTCAATTGGATTTGGTCAATAGCTGGCAACCAGGTACATGTAGCTCAATTGGTATTGGTCAATAGCTGGTGAACACTGGTAGCTCAATTGGATTTGGTCAACAGCTGGCAACCAGGTACATGTAGCTCAATTGGATTTGGTCAATAGCTGGCAACCAGGTAGCTCAATTAGACTTGGTCGACAGCTGGTGACCACTGGTAGCTCAATTGGACTTGGTCAATAGCTGGCAACCAGGTACATGTAGCTGACAATTGAATTTGGTCAATAGCTGGCAACCAGGTAGCGCAGTTGGATTTGGTCAATAGCTCAGGGACCAGGTAGCTCAATTACATTTGATCAATAGCTGGCAACCAGGTAGCTCAATTGGATTTGGTCAATAGCTGACAACCAGGTAGCTCAACTGGACTTGGTCAATAGCTGGCAACCAGGTAGCTCAACTGGACTTTATCAATAGCTGGCAACCAGGTAGCTCAACTGGACTTTGTCAATAGCTGGCAACCAGGTAGCTCAACTGGATTTTGTCAATAGCTAGCCACCAGGTAGCTCAATTGGCTAGAACATCCATGTAAAGGTCAGAAATCCAAAGTTCAAATCATGGTCTAACCACACACATTTCTCCTCTTCAGTGTTACAGTGATGTCAAGAACTCTTGTTTCAAGTACTTGCATTGGTGTACACTTGGAAAGGGGGTATCCAATGCAACCAGCTGGCTTAGAAATAGTGTTGTCTTTAGGGCCAAAGGCTAAGAAAAATGAAGGGAGGAATGTTACGGACTTGGACTGAGGTGAATTTCACTGTCCAAGTAACTCAATTGGTTAGAGCATTTGTCCAAAGTTTTGAGGTACTGGGTTCAAATCCCAATCTGGATATTTATTTTCCTCTTTCTGTTACTGTATCAAATAGACAATCAGATCTCCTGACATTCTATAGATATAAGGCTTGGTCTCTTAAAGACAAATTTGACTGTAATTTACGATGACACAGAATATGTCAGCTTTACTTTCTATTATTTAAATATTATACATGACTGATGACTGATATAGTTATTACAGTAAATTTCATTAATGATTTTCTGTAAACGTTATACACATTTTCAAAATGATTCATCACAGCTATATATAAACTAAAAATTTCCATGACCATGACAAATTTTCCCCAGATTGACAGTTATAGTAAGAAACAATCGTGTATACTTTTGGTTATTACTAATATGTTGCCCTGGGCAGGTAAATATATTCATGACATTACCTGTGGCTAAAGGTGAGTCCATCAGATCCTTCCCTCTGTCACACGGTAATGATTTAACTCGCATGTTTACTATATGGTCGACAAGGAAGTTGAGACTGTGTATTGGCTATCACATGCCCACAAAAGAATAACATGTATTTACGTGTGATTATATAAGGTTTTCTATAGCCACTCAACTCACTTTCACTTTCATTTTCATAAACATTTTACTTTCTCTGCCAGTTGTGAATAATAGTAACTGAAATCACTTAATCATAGAGCGCGGGGGGGNCCAGTAAATTCAGAAAAACATCAGTGTTCATATAATATGTATGTTGAAAGTCTCAAGTAATTTTGTTTCTGAAGCCATGCCCGATGTTCTGTTAAAATCAAGCTGTCAGGACAAATGTATAAAGAAACTAAACTATAACACAAAAAAATGCCAATATAATGTCACAGTCACAATATAATGTTATTGTAAAAAACGTTGAACATATTAGTGTCCAATTATGTCCTAAATTGTTATTTAAAAGGTTGAAAAAGATTTTAAGTATGATAATAATTGAGGATTTTTTATAATTATGTTGCTACTAAATTTGAGGTACATGTACTTCATTTTTTTATAATTCTCATATCCTTTCTAAATTTTACATTACAAAATGTAATTTGTTTTACTATTGTGTCATGCAGTGAATGTACACCAGTATATACATTTTTAATATTTTTTGTGTAAAATGATACTTCAGCCTAAGTGCTGATGAACGTGAAGCTGACACTCAAGTCAGAAAAACACTTTTTGTGTGAATATTCACCTGTATGATTCTTGGCAAGTCATTCAAATGGTCTGAATTTGTGTTCCAATTCTTATAAATGAGATTAATAAAAAATTCTTTACAGTTCGTTAAATTAACATATATTGACCTTATTCATCAATCTCATATGAAATAAAATCACATTTAAAGTTAACATTCCATTGCTGCATGTTAAATTAACAAAGAAGATTTCAAATTAAAAGTTATTATTCAATTTAGAGTTTTTTCCCTTGGCTGTAATCAACTTTTATTTTGATGTTGCATATGAAAATTCCTGTATACCAACATCTCATCCCAGTAACCCATTAAAAGTGGACTTAAATACAGCTACAGGCAGAATATCAGTGTTTGATTCATAAGAACCTACATTGTATTAAAAGATTTAAACATATGACGCCTGTGACCTTGAATGTCGAACAAGGACAAAAGGTTGAAAGTGGGTCAAGGTCATTTATTTGAACAAACTTGGTAGTCCTTCATCCCAGCATGCTACAGGCCCAATTTCAGTACCCTGGGCCTTTTGGTTATTGAGGAGAAGTGGTATGAAGATTTTACGACATTTGACTCCTGTGACCTTGAAAGTGGGTCAAGGTCATTCATTTGAACAAATTTGGTAGCCCTTCATCCCAGCATGCTACAGACCCAATATCAGTACCCTGGGTGTTTTGGTTATTGAGAAGATGTCGTTTGAAGATTTTTCGACATTTTACCCCTGTGACCTAGAAAGTGGGTCAAGGTCATGGATTT